ATCACCATACATGGATATCAAAGTTACATACCCTTATCTTATAAATCCTTGATATATCACATATCACAATACTTGGATATCAAAGTTACATACCCTGATTGTATAAATTCTTGATATATCACCATACATAGATATCAAAGTTACATACCCTGATCTTATAAATCCTTGATATATCACATGTCACAATACATAGATATCAAAGTTACATATCCTTATCTTATAAATCCTTGATATATCACATGTCACAATACATAGATATCAAAGTTACATATCCTTATCTTATAAATCTTTGATATATCACATATCACCTTACATAGATATCAAAGTTACATACCCTTATCTTATAAATCTTTGATATATCACATGTCACAATACATAGATATCAAAGTTACATACCCTTATCTTATAAATCCTTGATATATCACATATCACAATACTTGGATATCAAAGTTACATACCCTGATTGTATAAATTCTTGATATATCACATATCACCATACATAGATATCAAAGTTACATACCCTGATCTTATAAATCCTTGATATATCACATGTCACAATACATAGATATCAAAGTTACATACCCTTATCTTATAAATCTTTGATATATCACATATCACAATTCATAGATATCAAAGTTACATACCCTTATCTTATAAATCTTTGATATATCACATATCACCTTACATAGATATCAAAGTTACATACCCTTATCTTATAAATCTTTGATATATCACATGTCACAATACATAGATATCAAAGTTACATACCCTTATCTTATAAATCTTTGATATATCACATATCACAATACATGGATATCAAAGTTACATACCCTTATCTTATAAATCCTTGATATATCACATATCACCATACATGAATATCAAAGTTACATACCCTTATCTTATAAATCTTTGATATATCACATATCACCATACATGGATATCAAAGTTACATACCCTTATCTTATAAATCCTTGATATATCACATATCACCATACATGGATATCAAAGTTACATACCCTTATCTTATAAATCCTTGATATATCACATATCACCATACATGGATATCTAAGTTACATACCCTGATTGTATAAATTCTTGATATATCACATATCACCATACATAGATATCAAAGTTACATACCCTGATCTTATAAATCCTTGATATATCACTGTGAATTTCACATAATGTTACTCACTAGGTCAGGATGTTAACCGGGGTTGGTAGGTACAGTGAAATGACCTATATCATTGACATCATCATAAAAGCTCAGCGGTTTGAACTACTCTTCATCAAAGGAAAAAAGGTGAGTCTGTGACACAACAGTAGCTGCTAGGAATTTTTTTGCAATCATAGTACCTTAGTAAAATTCATGAAAATTTGTCTTATGTGGAATTAATTTAGTTTACATTATTATGTACATGCAGTCTCTTAATTAAGTAGGTTACCAGTTTAGCTAAACTGTTTGTTGACAATTGAAAACATTGTGCATGGACAAGATATTTGTTTTTCAAGTTTAGATGTAGTATTTTGGAAGTATTTTTTCTTTGTTTTGAGGTATCTGTCTTTCAAGAGTATTTTTAATCTATTTAATTTTTGCTATCAGCCTTTATAGTAAAATGACTTATTTCTGTGATTGTCAGGAAAAAAACTGTCTGTTAACTGACAATTAAGAATTTTTGCCCACCCATTTAAACATACCGATTAAAAGGTTATGGTCAACGGAAGAATGGTAGCATACATGATATGCTAAATAATTTACTTACATATAATCATAACAAAAGTTTCTTTTTTCTGAAACAAACTGGAATATATTGTTTCTTGTTTTAATGTTCTCCACAGGATGACAAACTGAAAGTTGCTCTGCTGGACTATTTAAAGAAGTACTACCCTGACGATAAGGATATTTTCACTATGATGGCACTCAAATTCAATATGTACAGGGAGATTGCTGAATTGTTACAAAGCGATGCCAAAAGATTTCTCAAAGAACTTAAAGAACAGTTTAAAAATATGGGTGAGTAAATGTTTATGAGGATGGTAATTATGATCCTTAATTATGATCATTACACCTATTAACTGGTCATAGAAACTTGTAAATACATCTATAGACTAATCTTAAGGAAAACACACATACATCATGAACTGGCAATGAGGGCAACAACATACATATATAGACTGGTCATTAGGGCAACAACATACATATATAAACTGGTCATTAGGGCAATGACATACATCTATTGACTGGTTATTTGGGCAATGACATACATCTATTGACTGGTTATTTGGGCAATGACATACATCTGTTGACTGGTCATTTGGGCAATGACATACATCTGTTGACTGGTCATTAGGGCAATGACATACATCTGTTGACTGGTCATTTGGGCAATGACATACATCTGTTGACTGGTCATTAGGGCAATGACATACATCTATTGACTGGTCATTAGGGCAATGACATACATCTATTGACTGGTCATTAGGGCAATGACATACATCTATTGACTGGTCATTAGGGCATGA